ATAATTTAAAGAATTTTGGTTCAACCCTGCCCCAAAATCACAAAAACTCCACAAAAACCCACAAAAACCCAAAATAACCCACACAAAACCCCAAAAACCCCGGAAAAACCCGCGGGGTTGGGTTTTTCTAAAAAACCCCGGGGTTTTCCGAACCCTGTTTCCAGGCTGTTGCAAGCCTCGGTTCTCTTAACTCCAAAAGGGGATTACACAACGGACGTGATATTTTTTTTTGTAATTCCAATATTTTTTTATTGATGACCTTGATCCAGTGAACATAATTAGTCATTACAACACCCCTCTAAGTGACCTAGTTTGACCGGAAATTGAGGTCAAAGGTCAAAAACTCGTTTGCTGTTTAACGCCAGAAACCTTATATGGAACAATACGGGCAGAAGGACCCCTCTCCGATCGGGGAATGTGATACGTCAAAATGTCGGGTTTTTCATGCTGATCAAGAATATATAAATTTTTTGACCGACAAATGTATATTAAGGTCACAAAAAAGGTCAAAGGTCAAAATTTTTTATTGCATTTTTGGACGTTTCAGGGCATTCTAAGACTTTGTCTCACTTTTCCCCATGGCGGGAATATTTTTGGGGTGACGTGAGATTTCTAGTTTTTGTGTCGAATGTCGAATGTCTGGTTGGGTTGTACCCTGTCTGGTGTAAAATCTTTGGGGCACTATGAGATTTGGGACTAAGTGGATCATCGATTATCGTAATTCTGCCCAATATTGGGGTATTGTTCGTTTTTAAGCAAACGAAGCGAGCAGGTTAGGTTAGTTTTACTAGGTATGCGGAAAGCGTTGCTATTCCAGCTAGCAATCCTAGCTAGCAGTCCTAGCTAGCAATCCTAGCTAGCAGTCCTAGCTAGCAATCCTAGCTAGCAGTCCTAGCTAGCAGTCCTAGCTAGCAATCCTAGCTAGACACTAGAAATCTCATGTCACCCCAAAAAATTCCCGCCATGGGGAAAAGTGAGACAAAGTCTTAGAATGCCCTGAAACGTCCAAAAATGCAATAAAAAATTTTGACCTTTGACCTCAATTTCCGGTCATACTAGGTCATTTAGAGGGGTGTTGTAATGACTAATTATGTTCACTGGAACAAGGTCATCAACATAAAAAAATTGGAATTACAAAAAAAAAAATATATCACGTCCGTTGTGTAATCCCCTTTTGGAGTTAAGAGAACCGAGGCTTGCAACAGCCTGCTTATTTCATTAATTTTTAATTTTTTTTCCTAACAGCCTTATTTCATTAATTTTTAATTTTTTTGCCTAACAGCCTTATTTCATTAATTTTTAATTTTTTTTCTCCTAACAGCCTTATTTCATAAATTTGTAATTTTTTTTGTCGCGTGAGTTGTATCTCATCTCGCGCCAATTAGCAAAAAGGCACCCATTTTTGAGGGGCAAAAAAGCAAAAAACCTATCAGTACAGCTTTGCTTAGCCCGAACCAGGATTGATTAGTAAACTCATGTTTGTCAGAATGTTGTACTATTTTTCACTAGTTCTTGCATTAACTAGCGTAACTTGGTAGTTTGCTTGGCACCAAATACCACGAGCAGTGGAGGCTGTTCGTATAAAAATTTCGAAATTCAACCGTCCTAAATTCTAATCTAAGTTATTTTTTGACTCCTCACTAAATTTTAGCTGAATATATAAACTCTTAGAAATCGGTATGGGCACCCTTAGTGCCCCTCTGGTTACTTTTTGTTCATCTTTGACTTCATATAATTTCATGAGAAGCCATTAAGTATCACCGTTCCAAATTTCAGCTTTTTACGACAAGTTATGAAAATCGGTATGGGTCACCCCAACTGGTCTCGGCATGTAAAAATTTTACCAATTTCACTTCATATTCTTCCATTAGGGGCCATTAGCAGCCTCTATACCAAATTTCAGCTCGATTGAATAATTTTGAAAAATCGGTATGGGTCACCCCCTCGGCCACCTCAGGTTGAATAATTTTCCAATTTCACTTCATATTATTTCATTTGGAGCCATTAGCAACCTCTGTACCAAATTTTAGCTTTCTACGACCATTCTGAAATTTTGGTGCATCAAACCCCACCCACTCCGATGACCCCCACCGGTCAACCACTTGACCGATTTGGCCCATCTTCGAACTCGTTTCCTAACTTTGTCCAATACACATGTGGTAAAAATTTCAAGTCAATCGGTCAACTCGTTCGAGAGCTATCGAAAGACAGACGGACAGACAGACAGACGGACATGACAATTACATAAGCCCTGGTTCGGGCTAAAAAGGCATTGCCTTTTTGCTCTGCACACACTTATTATACAGAAGCCGCCATAGAGTTATATGTATAATATACGGTAGCAATCAAGGGAGAAATACAGCTAGAAATTCGTAATTAGCGAAGAAACATTTATTTCGTGCCAAAATGACGACCTATCGGACTCATATATGCAAAAGCATGGAGAAAGTTGTGTTTCGGTATGTGCTAACTTGCTCACCACAAAATAACCACGAACGACAAGGAAGACTGCACTTACTCCTCAGTATCATTTTACTCCGACAATTTAACTTTGCATAAACCAATCGCATGGAAACTCTCTTGGGGGACATTCGCAACAGCACCAAAAAAAACAGGAAATGATAAACAACACCCCTAAAATGCACCCTCGTAAAAACTTGTATGCATAAACTGCCATGCGGTGCGAACCAATAATCAATTTTCGCCTTAGAAAAAAAATCCACATTATTTGCATCATCGAAAAACCCAACAGGCAGGCAGATAAAAATTTTTTGGAACTAGGAAGAAGCCCCCATGTGAAACGTAGCATCAATATATAGCGTGGGTTTGCTAGAGCGTCCGTCAACAAAGACCAAAATTTCTGGATCCAATTATTGGGTCTGGGATAATGAATATGTGTTTACCCTTTTTTAACACCATAAAATTACTGTACAAATTGGATCATAATAATACACACAAGTGAATGATTTGTTTACTGGAGATGTCCCTTGCCAGGACACACGAACTACAAGCTGTGATTGAACTACCCAGTAACTCAAATAAATAAGTCCGATGATAAACAAAAGACCGCACGTGTGCAAAATGCACAATCTAACGGAGAGAAGATGTATAATCTATAATAAATCGATTACCAGCCCACACAATTAGGGCGAGACCTGCACTTGGAATTGCAACTGGAACTTTAATTTTCAGGTGTAACTGGAATTTTGATCAGCTTCTGATCTTCATCACTTACAATTAGTCATGACTCCATCTCATTCAATGCTATCTCTGTGTGGCATGACATTCCACTCAATCAGTTTGTGACATCTATTTGATTGAAAAGCGAAACTGCTACATATATCATTATTTGTATGCATGTTGGTTCAACCTAAGGCCTAAATATGTAAGACATTATCATTTAGCTTGACAGAAAAAAATGAGTCCATGGTTAAATAAATAACTACCGGCACTATATTTTTCATAATTTCTAAAACTTGCATGTTCGATCCGAACCAGATCAGTCTAATTACACTGCGGAGACGAACAATCACTAACCAGCACGACCTACCCCTAACTAACCAAAAACTCCCAAAATGACTATTTCATCTCTAACTTGCATTATCCTCCTGCTAGGATCATGCTGTTTTCTCAGCCATGCCCAACAGGTTATGGGGCACTTAGTGCTCGGCACGAGACGAGACGAGACGAGATTGCCTTGTCTCGTCTCGTCTCGAAAGTGACTCGAGACGAAGTAATCGAGACGAGACGAGATGACGATTTTGTCATCTCGTCTCGTCTCGAATCTCGTCTCGATCGAGACGAGATGTCTCGACATTCATCCATGTTTTTCAAAATATCTTTTGTATTCTTCAGATAATTACAAAATACAAATACACAAACTGCAAATATTTAGAATATTATTAATGGCCTTGTATTCCTTATATAGTAAACTACATACTAGTAGTTTACACAAAAAAATAAAGGATAAATCTTAATCGTAAGCTAGTAACGGGATGACAAAATTTTACGACGCTTCCATTGAGTCATTTCACGTCAATTTTCGTTAGTACGTAAACACGTAAACTTACTAACCTTACGACCTTTTGACAAAACGTACCAATATCTCTTGTATGTGATTTTTACCCAGATAAGTCAAATTTTTGGTTCGTAAGATGATCTTCGCAGGCTTATGAACATAGAATATAAAGAATTAGAAGAAGCACTCTGCTCTTTGTTAAGCAAGTAAGGGGGATGACTCTCCACGTCACATACGAGAGGTCGCCAGAGGCCCTCAGGCCCTCAATGTTAAACTAAATGGCAAACTCGCAGAGTTAACTCCTACTCCATCTGTGAGTGACGTGAACATCTCTTTCTGTATCTTTTATATCGTGGTGGTTAATTACTCGTCGCTAGAGCCCTCACTAATACTATCTTTTATGCATTTTGTATTTACCAATGCTAAGATACTACCCATCGCTTATGAACGTAATTACGAGCTTACGAAGGCTAACATGAAATACCTGAATGACTCGTAACCGTCATAGCTTATGTTACTACATATACAAAGAATACTTGGGATATGGATACGAAGGAATCGTTACCCGCAGTATATACAATTTATAATTGGAGTTATATAGTTAGTGTCATATTTGAGTGTCTTTTACGTAAAAATCAGAATATTTGCAGATTGGTTAAAGTTTTGATCATAATTATTCGTTTTATCTATTGTCTCCAAAAAAAATTTTTGAAGGATACTGCATTTCCCAAAGCTGCTCGCTCCTTGCAGAAGGCTAGAGGACGGAGAATTTGCTGCTAAATTTCTAAATTTTTGATGTATCGAGACGTCTCGTCTCGACCGAGATTTGTCGAGACGAGATGGCGTTGGTCTCGTCTCGATCTCGTTCGTCCCGAAATCTTTCGAGACGAAAAAGTTGGTCTCGTCTCGTCTCGTATCTCGTCTCGTCTCGTATCTCGTCTCGTCTCGTATCTCGTCTCGTCTCGTATCTCGTCTCGTCTCGAAATTTTCGAGATGGTCTCGTCTCGCGCCGAGCACTAGGGGCACTGTATTATTCCTCAAGTTACTGACTGGATAATTCAAGTATTAAAATTTTCCGTTGTTCCAATGTAAAATTCCTAGTTTACCAGCCAATGTGACAAGCCAAGGAATGCAAATCTACCATTTTGCGACTCCAGCTTGCCCACAGAAGCTCGCGTGTCGGATTTGATCTTTCGCCTCACCTTGGCCGAGAAGATTGGTCTGCTCGTTCACGAGACGGAGGGTGCCACTCAAAACGTGGATCTGGACTCGTACAACTGGTGGAACGAGGGTCTCAAAGGAGTCGCCGATGCGCCAGGGGCTCATTTCCGACCCCCCACGGAATACTCGACCGTGTTCCCACAACCCATCAACCTTGCCTCCTCCTTCAGTAAAGAACTCTTCTTCCAAGTCGGCAACATAACGGGGAACGAAGCAAGGTTTTAAACAATAAATACTTAAAGCGAAAATTGCACACATTTCTGAACAATCAATATTGCAGAGCATTCTTCAACGTGGGGAATGGAGGGCTGACGTACTGGTCACCAAACATAAACATCTACCGCGACCCCAGATGGGGAGAGGTCACGAAACCCCGGGAGAAGATCCACGCCTCAGTACGGAATTCGCACGTTACTTCATTCGCGGATTGCAGGGTGACGAATCTGCAAATGGATTCCTCAAGACTTCCGCGTGCTGCAAACATTTCGCCGCACACTCGCTGGAGAACGATAGATTCACCTTTGACGCTGTTGTCAACGAGCAGGACATGGCGGACACGTACCTCCCCGTGTTCAGGAGTTGTGTACAAGAGGTAGGCTTTTCTTTTGAGGGTTGCTCAGAAAACTCAGGCTACACGTTCGGAAATTTATCTGTTCTTATCTTATTTGCATATTTGTAGTCGGACGTGAGCTGTATCATGTGTGCTTACTCGGCCATTAACGGAATCCCCGCCTGCGCAGATAAAGGCCTACTGACCGACAAGATCCGAGGGGAGTGGGGTTTCGAGGGCTATATCGTGTCCGACTGCGGGGCGGTCGACTTTGTCCAAAGGACCCACAACTACACCCAGTTCCCCAACGAGACCTGCCACGCCGTTCTAGACGCCGGGGTCGACATCGAGTGCTACGCCTACAACGGTCCCTTCTTCACCCGCTACTTGGGAGACGCCGTGGCGGAAGGGGCAGTCACCCCGGCCATGCTGGATACCGCGCTCGCCAACGGGTTCAGGGTCCTCATGCGGCTCGGATACTTTGAAAAGAATGCGACCCGTCCCTTCACCGACCTTCTGCCACCCATCGTGGACAGCCAACCTCATCGAGACGCCGCCTTGGCCGCGGCCCGACAAAGTATCGTCCTCCTTAAGAACTCCCCCGCCTTGGGGAAGGGCAGGCAAGGCCCCACTACCCGTTACTTTGGGGGCACAAAAACAAGGCACGATGGCCTTGATCGGACCACACCTGAACGCCTCGAGAGCCTTCTTGGCCAACTACCATGGAATTCCTTCCTCCATCTCGACCCCATTGAGTGCCATCCGAGCCTCCTTTCCCAACGCCCAGTACGAATTCGGCTGCGACTTGATATCCACAACGAACCCGCATTTGGATGAGGCCGCCGCCCTGGCCGCGATCTCCTCCCCCATCGTTCTCTTTGTGGGGATCAACGCTGCGCAGTTTGAGGAGGAGGGGGTCGAGTATGAAGAGCATGACAGGTTAAACTTGACCCTGACAGGGTTGCAGCCTGAACTCATCCGAACTGTCCTAGCCGCCGCGAGGGAGCCCGTGATCCTCTTCGTGGTCTCGGGTGGCGTGGTGGACCTGTCCGAGTGGAAGGATGATCCCCGAGTGGGAGCCATCATCTGGGCGGGATATCTGGGGCAGGCGGGCGGAGAGGCGATAGCAGACGTCCTTTTCGGCCGGTACAATCCGTCGGGACGCCTGGCACAAACGTTCTACTCGAACGAAGTGATCACCCAGTTTGAGAAGTATGATATGAACATGCGCCCCACGGAGGGAACGTCGACGGGGAGGACGTATCGTTTTTACGAGGGGACGCCCGTCTATCCATTCGGGTTCGGATTGTCCTACACAACCTTCGGGTATAGCATTCTTAACTTGCCCCCTATCCTTGAAATACCGACGATCGGAGGAGTGGATCAAGACTGCGCAGTGATGGTCACTCTGGCCGTGAGGAACGTGGGGGTGACTGCGGGGGATCACTCGGTCCTCTGGTTTCTCGCCCCACCCAACGCAGGACAGGGAGGAAGACCAATTAGGGATTTGCTCGATTTTGAAAAACTGGAGAATATTTCAGCGAATGAGGTGAGGGAGGCAAACCTTTGTCTGAATCGGGACCACTTCGTCCTGGCGAATGAGGCAGGGGAGTGGGAAGTTGTTCCAGGGGACTGGACCCTGCAGGTGGGACAATTGGAGAGAGTTATTCGTGTTGCCGTTTAAATATCAAAATTCATGGTTATGACTTGTTGTCAATAAATTAAATCATGTTTGTCCGACTCTGACTCGCACGAAGCTATTCATAAAATTGCATACATATCCGTATCCTAAGGTGCCCTCAACATGTGCCCCTTATCATATTTGGCGTAAAGGGTTTACTCAAGCAAAATACAAGAAATGATATGCCTATGCTATTTTGGCCTAATAGTTTTTTATGAAGAAATTGTGATCGAAAATTTGATTAATGATGAAATTTTCTGCAGCATAAAACCAATCAATCTTTAAATCCATTTTATTTTAAGACCCGTCAGTAGTACAAGTGTCTAGGTTTTTTCGCCAAAGATTTCTCGCCCGCTTTATTTCTTATGGGGAAATCCTTGGCTAGGTTTTTTCGCCAAAGATTTCTCGCCCGCTTTATTTCTTATGGGGAAATCCTTGGCTAGGTTTTCTCGCCAAGGATTTCTCGCCCGCTTTATTTCTTATGGGAGAAGCCAAAGATTTCTCGCCCGCTTTATTTCTTATGGGAGAAGCCAAAGATTTCTCGCCCGCTTTATTTCTTATGGGAGAAGCCAAAGATTTCTCACCCACTTTATTTCTTATGGAGAAGCCAAAGATTTCTCGCCCGCTTTATTTCTTATGGGAGAAGCCACGGATTTCTCGCCCACTCTATTTCTTATGGGAAAAAAGACGGGTCCTCATCACACACTTCTTATGAGGAAAAAGAGGGCTCCTCGCCACATACTTTTCCTTACGGGAAAAAATACGGGTTCTCGCCACCATACATTGCCTTATGAGGGAAAAAGACGGTTAGGGCTTCTCGCCACAAGGCCTTTATAGCATGGGTATGTATTGCAAGGATATGCTGACTGCTTATAGTAACCAAAGTCTCAGATGTATTTTCATGTGTCGAAAAATAATGGCGGGACTTCTCAAATTGCCCCAAATATCTCAGTTTACCCCCGTGCCATAGATTATCCTGGTGTCTCTGATTACCCCAAATTACTAAAATTACCCAAAATCTCAAATTACCCCAACAATGTATTTCTTATGGAAAAAAATCTTTCAGATGGGGGTACATGGGTTGAGAAGAAATGATGGCGGGACGTTTGAGACTAAATTATCAAAAATGTCTCAATTTACCCTATTTGTCTCATTTTATTCAAGTATCTCAATTTACCCCAATTGTCTCAAATTCCCCACTTATCTTAAAAACCATCAACGAATCATTTTACCTCTATATAGACAAGTAATACTCATTCAATTCTTAGTTACTCGCAGAGTCTTCAAGTTTAAAAATGCCTTTCTACTGTGTGCCCAAACATTTAGTTTGGTTGAGCCTTTTTATCTTGGCATTTGATATAACGTTACTCGTAATAATCTGCTCATATTCTATAATTGAAAGTGGAAAATCAAACCAAACCGGTTACTCATGGCAACCAAAATCACAGATGTGTTTTCATGTGCCAATAAATATTGGCGGGACGACTCAAATTACCCCAAAATTTCTCGAATTGCCCCAAATGTATCAATTTACCCCTGTGTCATTGATTTTCATGTCTCAATATACCCCAAATGACTAAAACTACCCCCAAAATCTCAAATTACCCCAATAATGTATTTCTTATGGGAAAAAATTTTTCGGTTGGGTGTACATGGGTTAGTAAGAAATGATGGCGGGACATTTGAGACTTGAGACCATAATAGACGCTATTACATTTTTCACATGCTCCCCAACGTTAACATTTTCTCCTCTTGGGTTTGGGGGAGTTCTAGAAACTGCATCAATTTTGTTAAGACATTCATCGAATCTTCATTGCTTAGCATCAATTCTACTCCATGAATATGATACTCAGAAAGTGGTTCACCCCAAAAATCTACACGGTCAGGCTTATGCAATGTCCGACACACCTTACAGCATTCACCAGAAGTTCCACTTGCCTGACTTTCTGTATCATCTTCTCCCTCTTCTTCGTCCGAAGACGCGTCTGAACTTGAATCTTGACTGTCCCCTTCTCTACTACAATTTGACAGCTTGTTCCTTCTTCCACCTCGAGATCGTCTTTCTTTTTTTGCTTGGGGTTCATCATCGGAGCTAGTTTAGTTGGAAATGATGTGTCCGCTGAGTCATCCTGGTTCGTTTCAGCATCATCAGAATCAAACAACGTCACTTTGTGAAACCCAGTTTTATGAGTACTTAAAGCCTGTTCAGAATTGAAGTGTCTGGAGCAGCGACTACATTTGTAAACCATCTTAATATCACCTCTCTAGGTCAACTGTCTGACGATAACAGCAATCTCTTCTTTTATACTGGTCCGAAATTATTGAGCCATCTGAAAGATTTTATGATTTGAGGTAAATTCATATGTTTACACATGTAATTACATATGCACACATGTGTACACGCACAAATGTATGCATATGTGCACACACATATGTATACATATGTACACATATGTACACATACATATGTATACATATGTACACATTTTGGCAAATGGGGAGGTGCCTCAAAAGCTCTACCTCCATATGATCAATTGATTTGATTTTCCACCTCACTCAGTCCAACCCTACTTAATTTGGGGGTTAGGTTTAATTAAAATAAAAATTTGATTGCAAAGTATGATAATTAAATATGAATGAGTGGAACGAGGTGCAACTTTAGGCTCAAGTCAAGATTTGAGCCTAAAGTATGAGAGACTGAAGAAGTCTCTCATTTGCACCACGTTGTTTGATTCTGATGATGCTGAAACGAACCAGGATGACTCAGCGGACACATCATTTCCAACTAAACTAGCTCCGATGATGAACCCCAAGCAAAAAAAGAAAGACGATCTCGAGGTGGAAGAAGGAACAAGCTGTCAAATTGTAGTAGAGAAGGGGACAGTCAAGATTCAAGTTCAGACGCGTCTTCGGACGAAGAAGAGGGAGAAGATGATACAGAAAGTCAGGCAAGTGGAACTTCTGGTGAATGCTGTAAGGTGTGTCGGACATTGCATAAGCCTGACCGTGTAGATTTTTGGGGTGAACCACTTTCTGAGTATCATATTCATGGAGTAGAATTGATGCTAAGCAATGAAGATTCGATGAATGTCTTAACAAAATTGATGCAGTTTCTAGAACTCCCCAAACCCAAGAGGAGAAAATGTTAACGTTTGGGGAGCATGTGAAAAATGTAATAGCGTCTATTATGCAGGCGGCAAAGAATGGAGAAATGGTTGTGACTCGTAAATTACTTACTGATATCGTAAGATCATCTGAAGGTCTCCCAATGATAATCCATACGCTTGATTACCAGTAAGAAAACGTTGAAACCTACTCAATGCTAAATGAACAACTGTCCACTTCCAAATTACTCAAAATAAAAGATCAAAAACCTTCTAATTCTTGTGCAAAGCAACAACATTGTCTTTTAATTCGGCTTAAAAATCAAGTGGTTTTAGTGTTTTGTTGTTAACGCAATAAAGTTAAAGGGAGATAATTTTTCTAAAAGTTTGTGTGCTGTGTACTTAGGCACTGCCTGACCTACATATCCCAACTTTACTTATGATAATAAATAAATGGGAAAGGTTTACATTAGACAAGAACCCAGTCAAATTTACTGCGCATAATAAATAAACACACAATTTTAAGAATTATTTAACAAATCTTTGACAATAAATGCTAATTATAAATACTTCTGATCTGTTATTTCATCTCATTACTGCAAACAATTTTCATATATAATTTTTCATGTTTTTAAAACAATAAGTTTTTTCATGCGTGAATATCATATTTTCACAAATAACGCTATACTTTTGTAGATAAACCTTCATAAGTACTATTTTAAACGTTGGTGAAAAATTGTGTCATCATTAGTATCACCACTAGCTTCAGAAAACGTTTCACTCTACCTTTTTTCAATCTTTTTCTCGTAACTTGCTTATTAGTATCAACACTACCACCAACAAAAAGGTCGAACTCCACCTTTTCAACCTTTTCTATCCATAATAAAACGTAAAGCATAGGAGGGGACATAACAAATACTGGCATACCCTTACATGATGACTTACTACACCATACACATACCTTGGTCTCATAACAAAGGTGTCTATCCTTAAACGCTATGGGAATAAGTTCTCCCATAAGAAATGTATTGTAAGGAAGAGCCGTTGGGCGGAGCCGTAGAAAAGGCTCGGGGTAATTTGGAATATTTGGGGTGCTTTGAAATATTTAATTGGGGTAAATTGAGGTATTTGGATAAATTGGGATACTTGAATAAATTGAGACAAATGGGGTAACATGAGACATTTGGGCGTAAATTGACACACTTGGATAATTTGGGAGAATATAAATTGAGACCTCAAGTCTCAAATGTCCCGCCATCATTTCTTACTAACCCATGTACACCCAACCGAAGGATTTTTTCCCATAAGAAATACATTATTGGGGTAATTTGAGATTTTGGGGGTAGTTTTAGTCATTTGGGGTATATTGAGACAACATGAAAATCAATGACACAGGGGGTAAATTGATACATTTGGGGCAATTCGAGAAATTTTGGGGTAATTTGAGTCGTCCCGCCAATATTTATTGGCACATGAAAACACATCTGTGATTTTGGTTGCCATGAGTAACCGGTTTGGTTTGATTTTCCACTTTCAATTATAGAATATGAGCAGATTATTACGAGTAACGTTATATCAAATGCCAAGATAAAAGGGCTCAACCAAACTAAATGTTTGGGCACACAGTAGAAAGGCATTTTTAAACTTGAAGACTCTGCGAGTAACTTAGAATTGAATGAGTATTACTTGTCTATATAGAGGTAAAATGATTCGTTGATGGTTTTTAAGATAAGTGGGGAATTTGAGACAATTGGGGTAAATTGAGATACTTGAATAAAATGAGACAAATAGGGTAAATTGAGACATTTTTGATAATTTAGTCTCAAACGTCCCGCCATCATTTCTTCTCAACCCATGTACCCCCATCTGAAAGATTTTTTTCCATAAGAAATACATTGTTGGGGTAATTTGAGATTTTGGGTAATTTTAGTAATTTGGGGTAATCAGAGACACCAGGATAATCTATGGCACGGGGGTAAACTGAGATATTTGGGGCAATTTGAGAAGTCCCGCCATTATTTTTCGACACATGAAAATACATCTGAGACTTTGGTTACTATAAGCAGTCAGCATATCCTTGCAATACATACCCATGCTATAAAGGCCTTGTGGCGAGAAGCCCTAACCGTCTTTTTCCCTCATAAGGCAATGTATGGTGGCGAGAACCCGTATTTTTTCCCGTAAGGAAAAGTATGTGGCGAGGAGCCCTCTTTTTCCTCATAAGAAGTGTGTGATGAGGACCCGTCTTTTTTCCCATAAGAAATAAAGTGGGTGAGAAATCCGTGGCTTCTCCCATAAGAAATAAAGCGGGCGAGAAATCTTTGGCTTCTCCCATAAGAAATAAAGCGGGCGAGAAATCTTTGGCTTCTCCCATAAGAAATAAAGCGGGCGAGAAATCTTTGGCTTCTCCCATAAGAAATAAAGCGGCTATAAGCAGTCAGCATATCCTTGCAATACATACCCATGCTATAAAGGCCTTGTGGCGAGAAGCCCTTTTTTTCTCAAGTATTCAATTCAGTTTTAAACTTAATCCATTTCTAGTAAATAAATAAATAATGATACAAAACTAGTTTCATCTTCAAAGGTCACAGAAATATGTCAAAAACTTAAGTCTTAAAAAAATATCGAGTCAATAATGAATAACGAAAAAAAAGAAATTGCTAATTCATAAATACAAAAAACTAAATACTAATCCACTAATTTTGGAATTAATTGGATGTAAACGTTTAATTAGGATTATTTGAGCTAAAATGGAACTAAACAATGAATATTTTCGCTTCTTCTTCGGTATTAATTAATTTTAATTGCGATTATTAAGCCACTAATTTACTTGCTGCGTGTGAGTTAGTAAAAATCTTCTGTTCTGCATGTGTCATTCTTCGTTAGTAAGTACTAAGTATTGCGTTCAATTAGTGAACTTTTTTTCACGCATTGTTATCCCCTGCCCCCATTTTCCTGTCGAGATCTTTGAGGATGCTTGGCGTCGGACTGGCGCTGTTTCCTCTGTGTCCTTCTTCACAACTGCTGTTGCTGCGTCCACTGCTGCGACTGGCGGAAATGTCCCGAGTCGACTCTTCGTACCGGGCTTGATGGCGTTGATAGATTGGGGCGAGGATGAAAAAGTTGGAGATGAAGATCCCACCCCCAGCGATCCAAAATGACCAGGCGTACTTTCCCGTGTAGTCGTAGAGGAGGCCTGCACAGGGAGAAATGAGGGGTTAGCACCAGTCACAAATTCTAGTCAAATTTATGAAGAAATGAATGTAAAATACCAGCAATGGGTGGTCCGATCAGGTTTCCGATCCCTTGCACAAGTAGGAGAAGACCGTACGCGGGGGTAAACTTTTCCAAACTGACGACCTAAACGTTAAGCAGGTAATTATTAGTTATCATTCACTTTCACTAATTAATTACGTGTGGCTATAATTTTTCTCTCGTTACTTGAAGTAGGATGACGGGTGTGAGTGAGTAATTTGCCGCAATCATCAAGCCAAACACGCCGCAGAGCAAGACGAGGAAGTAGTAGGTGAGCCCCATGCTGAACAACTTCCCAAAGAGGCAGGGCATCAGGCCGGTCACGATGCCGCAAATGGAAATACACAGGCCATAAATCGTCACGGAATTTGCCCACTTCTTGTCCCCCAAATACCCCAAAATTATCTGCAAAACGAAATCACAAATAAAAGTTGAATAATAATAATTAATACTTAATTTCCTAATTTAACGGATTAAATTTCTTTACATTTCCGAAAACGGTTAAAAGTCCGATCGTACTTCCCAACATGGCTCCTTCTCCTTCCGAGTAGCCCAAGCCCGTGGCAGTGTCGGCAAGAAAGGTCAATGGGATCTCATACCTGGGAGGCAAAGAGGAAATGTGCATAAGTACTTATCCCAATTTTACTTGGCGCACTCTCCACCCACCACAATTTACTTACCACATGTACAAGAGAAAATTCGACATGATGAACAAAACGAATCTGGTATTTTTCAAGTGATCCAGGGCAAAGATTTCTTGCATCCAGACGTAAATATCCTGCAGGGCGGCTTTCCACTCCTAAAATCAATTACAATCACTCAATAATTCTCCTCGACTAAATTAACCCGAATAATAAATAACTCACGGGCGTATTATCATCCGCCGTGGCTACCGAAATGATATCCGGACATGACGTCGCAGGTCGGAGGGGGCGCATTCGGCTTCTCTTCAAATTCAGCACTGCGCCACGATACGTTAAAGAATTGCGATGATTCCCCCAATTCCTAGTCATTAGTCATTATTAAAATAATTAATCAATCAATTAGCTACTTATTCATTAAACCTGGACCCACATACATACCTCGTATGCTGCACAAGATTGTTTCTCATCCCCTGCTTCTCCAATGTGCTCATGTTTCCTGCTCCTCCGTTACAACTGCTGTTTACGCCATTCTTCTCATTGTTTGGTGATGGCGACGGCGACGACGTCACTTCTCCTTTTCCATTAGTCTTATTACTACTCTGATTATTGCTGAATGGTTTTGTATTCATTTGTTGGAGATGAGAATTGAGATTGTTGTGGTGGTGAAAGTCACACAAGTTATTGGCTGACTTCTTGACCTCCCGTAGTTATTGGAATTATTGTTATTGTTCGCGACGGCGACGACGAGGAGGGGCGAGTCGCTTTCATTTTCCTCCATCATCATCATCTTGTCGTCTTTTATGATAGCTTGGCCCCCTTCGTCGTCGACGCTGTCTTGCCCACCACTCTCACTTTTGTCTTCATTACTGAGATCATTGTTCTCTGCACGAGGTGGGACAGGGGCCGGAACGAGGATAGGACCACCTCCAGAGGTGAAACCTCCGGCATAATTATTCGAATAGTAGCGAATCCCTTTTCCTCCTCCTCCTCCATTTTTGACGTAGTGGGACGTGCTGTTGTTGTTCTTGAGACAAAGCTGCTCCGCTTCACGGACAAATGTGGGATACAAACTGCAGAATTGCAAAGTCTTTCAGATTTCTAGAGTCCAATCAAGGTAGTTCCTCCTCCTCCTCCTCCTTCAGGGATGTAGTACATTCCACCCCCTGCTCCATTCAGGCTAGGTCAGCAAAGATTAGGATGATTAAGATATCTTCAAATTATGTTAGTAATCAATAAAGGTTATCAACCTACTTTAGTTGAGTCTGAGTATTAAGGTCGTGCTCATTCTGGAGAACCTTTTCCCTCTTTCGACTACTCTTCTTGCTCCATTCCAAGTCTTTCATGAGGATAGCACAGAAGCAAAGGCTAAATAAAAACACCCGGCGTCCACCAACAAGGTCACTCTCCAGCTGGTCGCTTCTGCAAATCACGAAAATCATCTATTAATTAATTAATTAGTAATTAATATTCTCTACTTCCGGACTCACCAATGAGATAGGAATTCAGGGGGCCAAACATAAAAGTTCCAATCCCACCGCCACACATGGACAGGCCCGGCGCGAGTGAGCGTCTCTTATCAAAATAATAGGCCACTATCACAACCGCCGCCACGTAGCACAGCGACAAACCAAATCCCGTGATCACTCCGAACGCCAAAATGAGCATGTGAATTGAAACTGCAATTGCAAAGCAAGAGTTAGTTAATTAATTAATTACTAATAATAATTGACTTTTAAATGTGTATAAAATTCGACAAATTGGGTATTAAAATGTCAATTAACTTGTAATCAATCATCATGTAAATAAATCAGAACTTACTGGCATAATACGACCAGATAAATCCCAGCGTAGCCAGAATTCCACCCACAATGGTGCAATTCCTACAACCATAGCGATCCGTGAGGGTGGACGCGATGGGGCCTGACAGCAAGGGCATCGACGCCAAAAGACTGCCAGCCCAGGTCGTCGTCGTGCTTTTCGACGTCCCAAACTCCTTCTGGATTATGGGGAGGAACACGCCGTAGGAAAATGTGACCCCGTCAGCCATCAGATTTATGGAAAAGACTACAGCAACAACCACCCAACTAGACAAGCAGAAAGTTAAGTTGGGCCAATAATAATTATGACGACCAACTTCTAATCTTATAAAGATTTAAAAAATAATCGCTGTAACCAGAATATTCGGACAAAAACAATAAAGTTAACAAAATCATGGTTGGCTCCAAACTGGAGTCTCATTTTTCTCCTCTTGCTTTCTCTCTCTCTCTCTCCATATAACAATTGCTTGTTTTGTGCCATATTGCAATCTCATCAAAATTTTATAAATTTGCCAAAAAGTGCCTAATTGATCCAGGTAAGTTTTATTGCTGTATTTGATGCATTTATCAAAATATTAACCACAAATTTGTAGAGCAGGTGGTTTCAAATTTTTTTAAAAAATATACACTCCAGATTTTGACACCTTTTTTGAGAGAGGCGTTGTCAATTTTAAGAATCTCTCATAAAAACTGCAACTCTTTAAAAATTAGTCAAAAAACTCATCACCATTTAATTAATGACCTCACTGACTATAAATTTGTCGTTCATAATTTTAAAATAAATTCCCAGAGCGGAGAAATGATTAAAAATGTGCCGATTTTCCTGATTTTGGTAATAATTTAATAAAAATGTATCAAATTACAGCAAAGCTGACCAGGCAATTTGTCCCCATCCTTTCCTCCAGAGACATTTTGGAAATCGGTTAAAAGGTAGGTAAACCTATTTTTATAAAAAACTTTCTAGTTTTGAGAATGAAAACCACAGTCACTTCACACCCGCACAATTTTTATTTGGATAACATTCTCAGCGTTTGTAGAGCTGATTTATCCGGGTCCACGGTCCAAGTCCGGTGTTTTTACTCCACCCTCTCGCGGAGTGGGAGGTGCTCAAATTTGAAAAAACAGGGCTTTCTGCGAGTTTTAGCTTAAAGGCGGGTCAATATTTTTGAAAACGGTTTTCGCCAAACTTTTCCTAATTTTTATCTCTACAACCCTTTTCGAGCGCTTTTTGAAATGCTCCCAGCGGATGTCACGATTAAAGTTATGTCATAAAATTGAGACAAATATATATAACACTAGCGAATAAGCCCTTCTCCTGTCGGGTGAGCGTTTATTCCATCTTTTTCACATTTGTCCACTGGTTGTCATTTGCTGAAACGGTTATCATATTTGGTTAGAATTCAAAATGTAATTTTAAGATGTAAAAAGAGAATGGATTGAATTTGGTCGTAGTTGCAAATTTTTGCAATTTCACTTTCGTTGCCGACAGACATTTCCAGCTTATAATATAGATGTTTAACACCAAATTTTAAACTTCATAATTAAGGCCTCGTTAGTCAGTTAGCGTACAGACATCCTACCTTATGTAGCCAAATTTGACTTGCATCAATTGGTATATTCAGTGGCGTGGGTAAATAGTGCAAAAAACTAATTTAATTCCTTTATGCCGCGTGAAAGTCAAGTCAATAAATCCGAACATGACGGAAATCGATATATGAGTTGAGTAATTAAAGCTGCGTAGTTGAAAATATTTTTCTACTAGCATATAAGCTCGTCTCCCGCCGGGCGAGAATTTATTTGATTACCAAGGAAATAAAATGGGATTGTGCACAATTTCACCACATTACTTTTTGAAAATGTTCACCGTCTTTCGTTTTTAACAATATGAAGATATTAATGCACCTAAAAATCGGTAATTTTTAGGCTTACATAGTTAGGAGATACAAATTTTGATTTTTTTCTTCAACAAGAAGATAAATATAAAATAGATGAAAAATAATCAATAAAATTTAAATATTTCCTCATTGAAGAAAAAAATCAAAATTTTTATCTCCTAACTATGTAAGCCTAAAAATTACCGATTTTTAGGTGCATTAATATCTTCATATTGTTAAAAACGAAAGGCGGTGAACATTTTTCAAAATCGCCATTTGAATACATGGAGGAAGGGAAAGTTGAGACACAACAATTCAAACAAAAAACACGTGATACAATGCCACGTTAACGATTCAAGATAACCATCCAAAACGAACCATCGCCATACCCCTATTCCCAGATAACCACTACCAGACATCCAACCGCAGACGAACTGTGTCAGCTTTGCGCACAGCACAATCGTCGGCGTGACGACGCAATACAACTCGTCGACCCTGTGCTGACATGACACTATAATTTTATTTAGTGCAAACATGTGCACACTAAACAAACAGTTTATGAGACGACACCACAATCTTGTTTAGTGCAAACATGTGCACACTAAACACACAGTTCAAGACTCGACACTTCAATCTTGTTTAGTGCAAACATGTGCACACTAAACAAACATTTTATGAGACGACACGTCAATCTTGTTTAGTGCAAACATGTGCACACTAAACAAACAGTTCAAGACTCGACACGACAATCTTGTTTAGTGCAAACATGTGCACACTAAACAAACAGTTCAAGACTCGACACGTCAATCTTGTTTAGTGCAAACATGTGCACACTGCACAGAACTCTTGGTGTAGCGGTATGCATTGCACTGAGTGTTATCTGAGAGTGGTTATCATGGCTGATTAGCAGATAGTGATGGTGGTTGTCTGATGTTGATTATAAGGGAGTGGATATTTGGGAGCGGTTTTAAGTGAACAATAATTTTGTTTCAACTTAAAATTTTTGAATTTTCGCCCAATTCAAAACTTTCCCCACTTTGACTTCCGTTGAGGACAAATTCCTTCGACAGACATTTCTAGCTTATAATATAGATTCTACATACGAAATTATTGCAATTTATGCATAATATATTTTTTCTATTCTATACCAAACGTCTTGCCATTTATGCATAATATATTTTTTCTATTCTATACCAAACGTCTTGCCATTTATGCATAATATATTTTTCTACTCTATACCAAACGTCTTGCTGTTCTTGCATAAAATATATTTCTCTTTTATACATAGAAAATTATTGCCATTTATGCATAATATATTTTTCTGCTCTACATACAAAAAGCCTGCCACTTTCCGCATCACATATTTTTGCAATTATTGCATAAACCGTTTTCTATTGAATATACAAAAATGCTCCCATTTTTTGTGTAAAACATTTTTTTTCATTTGAATACCCAACGTGGCACCTCACAGCGCTTTGAATATGCTACACATATCATATGGAAATGTATTTTCACCCATACACTCAGCGCCGCACAGCGCTTTGCTGACAACGCTTCTCACAATGCTCTAAATCGCCCGACAGCGCTTTGCTGACAACGCTTTGAAGCGATCCAAAGCGCTCAATGTCGCTTCAGAGTCTATAACCCGGGTGCAGGAACCATATATTAATGCATAGTAAGCCCTTCCATACATTGCAATACACCCAACCCAACGCTTTAAAGCGCTTCAAGTCGCTCCATAGATCACCAACGGTAATGTGAATGGATTGTCGCCCTTTGCATACAGCGCTGTCTAGGTTACTCGTCGCTTCACATTGCTTCATCAAATAGTCTTTATTGTTGTAAATGAGCCAATATTAGTGAGCTGTCTCCCCCTTCAAGCATTGTAGTTACAAACATTTCTAGTCAATAGCGGAAATATTAATTGTTTAAACAAAAATACAATTATTTTGCTTCACCTTCTTAATTTGTAGCTCAAGCATCTACAAAGCCTTT